GTATACACACACGTTGCCTTCCCCATCTCAAATTTTTTTTAATTACTCTTTTTTGTTAATTCAATATTTTCTCTATTACCTGCACTTCTCATTCAATTAATTTTTTTTTCTAAAATAAATAATTTGGTTACCAAAATCACATACTGCATTTGCGTTTATTTACTTACACCTTCTCCTTGACGTATCCTGTTTACCTTTTGCTCGCTAACACTTTTACAAATGCAGCAATATACATATATAAATTTATACATACATACATACATAGTTACAGCAAAAGTCACACAGCCGATATTTCTATTTTTAAAAGCGAGCGGCGCATTTAAGGGATGCGCCTTTCCGGGGAAGTGACAAACTTTTGCTTGTTGTTGTTGTGCTTTTGCAGCAAGTCTGCTTCAACAACACATACGCATTTGATGTTTGATTGTTGGTGGAATATCGATAAAACTTTATTGTGAGGGCACGCATTGCACGCTACGCTCTAGGCAAAGACGTCGCTAATGTCTACAGGCAGACAGGTTTAATTACATCTGGTCGTAAAATRAACTTGTATTATAATGATTTATAGWTACATTTTTTCATGAGGGATATACAACATACCCTTGTGTTAAAATCCATAATTTATTTAAGTCCAAATAGTTTGATTACTCAGCTGATGCGTCAGCCGATAAGCAATAATTTGAGAAGCAATCTCCAATATCTTAAAAATTTACAGTTGCAATTATGTTTAAACAATTAATTATTTTTAGAAAGTAATAAGGAAATTAGAAATCGTTAACATTTTATTATATCAACGGAAAACAGATACTTTTTTCAGTACTTTAGATATAACAAAAAAAGTAAATGGAAGTTATTGCAGAAATTAAATATGTATATTAAACTGTTATTCTATTTATTAAGCTATATTTTATTAAATGTAGTTGTTATAATATCTCTTTTCCAAATTTTATTTTATTTTTCAATTACTATATTAATTTTCTAAAATATTTATTTTAAATCAATACTATTGTGAATGTGCTTACAGCAAAAAGCAGCATTTGCAAATCCAATAAGAAACAGCCGTTCGCACATATGTTCAATATTAAGCACAACAAAAAAAAATTAAACTGAAAATTATTTGACAGCGAATAGTTAAAACAAAGCAGAAAACAAAAAAAATGTCATCAACACCAGCTGAAGAAATTGGTAAGTAATTACCTTTTATTTAATTTAAATTTATATAAAATCAATATCAGATATTAAAAACACAACTACAATAGATACTTATACATTTTTATCATTAATTTATAGAATTATTAGAGCGTGTGCTATTGCGTTTGGGCTGTGCCGACAGTGATGAAAAATTGGAAGCTATTGTGGGACGCTTTTTGACGCCGGTTATATTGAAAATCTCCTCACCGCATGATGCGGTGCGCACAAAGGTCTAAAACATGATTATAAAATTATCTTCCAAAACACATACTCATCTTTCCGTAGGTCGTTGAAGTGCTGACGCATATTAAGCGAAGAGTCACTTCACGCCCCTTGGTGCAAATACCAGTTGAAGCGCTATTAGATCAATACTCTAATGCGGGCAATTCACCATTTTTGCTCAATTTCGCCATTATTTTCATAACAATGGGTTTTCCGCGTCTCAACATAGAGCAACAGAGCGCACTGGTGCCTAAAGTGCTAGTCTGCGAGGAAAAGCTGGAGAATTATCGTGATAAGTAAGTGTTTGTTGAATTTGAACGGATTTGGTATGTCCACTGGATTGTTTAATACCAATAATCTTAATTCTTTAATTATAACAAAAATATTGAGGAAGCTCCTTCAGTTTTTAATTTAATGTATTTTTTCATTCCCTTAGACTCTTTATGCTCGTATTGCCAATTTTGAGCGACATAAAACTACCAGATGATCCCGCGCGCGTAAACGAAGTCTTGAAGTTGGACGACAAGCCAACAGTACGTAAGAATTTTCTACAATTACTACAAGACGTTTTGCTGCTACCGTATGGTGTTACACAGGAGCAAGATGTGCTACCACCTGGCATGAGTTTTTATTCGTTTAAACGCGCTGCCGTTAGTAATTGGAAGGCTGAAGAGCTGGAGAAGGTTTGACACAGCGCAATAACCAAAATTACATGAATTTATTATTATTATTTTTTTTTTTTGTTTTAACACCAGATCAAGAAAGGCATAGTGCTGTCTCTTATACACATCTATTTATAAAGATTTTAATTAAAAACATTTGAATTAAAAATTTCATATATGTATATATGTACATACATACTCGTACATACTATGTATGTACTTTGGTAAAGTGTAARCCGCCCTAATGCTTACTAAGAGTCAATTTAGAACTTTATTAATACACTTTCATTAACACATGTTTATACTTCGAATGCATTCGCCACAAAATTTGCACTATTTACATATTTTGTAGTTTATTTACATTGCATATACACACATTAACATTTCCCCATTGGCAAATAATGAAATGTCAAAATGTTACTCATACGCCCCAACGACACAAWTGCATGCGCTACCTGCGGCTGTTGATTGCCATAAAACACGCAAAACTCTGCATAACAAATGCAAGCAACTGCAGCTTACAATAATCCGTTATTGTTATAGCATACTGTTTTTTGCCCTTTCCTCTTGCGCACWTACTACATAATACTTTATTTATATTATTACAATTTCTTATGGAATGAAAAATCCTTTTAAAAACATTTCAACAATATACTTAGAATTAGGAGTGGCTTTCATGCTTGTGTGTTTCCTTGAATACATTTATAGAAACAGATCGACTTTTGGAAGGCTAAGCTGTAAAATACACACAAATTTACATTTGTACATATGTATGTGTGCATGTACAGTTATTTGTGCACATAAAGCCCCAGCGAGCAGCTATAATAATGGTTGCAAAACCACAAAGTGTAACAAAAAGCAACAAGTAAGCGCACAGCAGTATACTTTGCCGCAGCAGCGYAGTAGCAGCGCGCAGCAACAGAAGCTGAAACAAGAGCAGGAGGTGTAGTGGCAGAGGTAAAAGGCCATCAAGGCTACATACAAGTATTAAAAATATAAGCTATACAAATAACTAGCACATGCCTGAATCCSAGCAGCTATATACACACATTTAAACATGCACATACATGTACGGACAGGTTGCTTTTACCGCAAGCAAGCAGGATTGCTGCAGAGGTGGGCCGAATCGTACAAGTGTACAAAGCCCTGCAATGCTGATAATAAAAAACATGAACAGTAAAATGTGAACACCGAAAAAATACTTACATATACATACATATGTWCATATATGTATATGTATAAAATATTCAAATGTATATAACAAACACGTATGTATGTATACGCCACAACGCCATGGAACGGGCCGTTTCGCCTTTACGCTACCGAGTAAGCGGCTTGTAAGCRCACACATACACACACAAACGCATGAAAAAACCACTGGACTATATTCTCAGGGCTAGGTTAGGCGGCGAAGTGAGCTCAACAAGGCCAGTTGCTGGCAGCGCCTGTGCGAGAACGCCGCGCGGCGAATTTGTGACACAGAATGCCAACAATGCATAGCTGCCAAGAGGTAGTGGATGCGAAAAATGACGCATAAAAACAGGCAGACAACAAGTAGGTTCCGTGTGATAACGCGCAAGCGACGCTTGGTCGGTGGGAGGGGGGAACGAGCGAGCGCATGCTGGTATTTCGTGCAGTTCAACGCAGCTGGGTAGCTTCGTTGAGTTCAGCACTCGACCCGAGCCATGGCAGACGACGCGTACAAATGTTGACTGGCGCAAAGAGGTCGCCGTCGCCGCCGCCGTTGAGCGCCAAACGGTTCTGCACAACCTGAAACGGTTCGGAAAAGACGCTGATAGCGCGTAAAGTGAAGACAACTGAGAAATGTGTGTGTTTGTATGTCGTGTTGAAAAACGTTGCATTGCGTATGAAAAGTTGCAGATATACATAAGTATATATGTATGTAGTGTGTATAAGTTGTTCTGCTGTGGTGTTGGTGTATGTTGTTTTGTGCCTTTTGCGTCGCCACTGAGTGCGAGCGGTCCTTGTTTAATTGTCATATGTATTATGTACATATTAATGTTTTATTTCTCTGTAGGTATGAGCGCATCAAGGTCCAATTCTGCATATTTTTAATGATAGCGTGGAGTGTATGAAATAGTGAGGTTAGCACTACTTTTTGTTATGAACCTAACTTACTTTTATTTAAAATAAATTATTTGAGGTGAATGTAGGTTATGTTTTTAATATTAAAAATATTGTATTCAAAAA